GACCAAGCCTAGGCTGGAGATAGAACCATATATTTAATATGAATGAAAGATAAAAGATAACATTCAACAGAGATCACGCCTGCGAGTCTGAGCCATGCCATCCGACCAATTCGAATTAATTCAATTCATTCTTCCCACATTCTCCATCGTTGAGTTTTTCTCCGCGTCTCCGCTGTCTCGTGTTCACCTTTGAGGATTGTGTAGTTAGGACCCTATGTTACTACAGGCCTACTCGAGTTAGACGGGAATGATGACCAACCAGCTTACGATGTAGTCACACCGAACGTGGGTTATCCTTTCTTCTTGTCCGGGTAATATGACTTCTTTGATGACCGAACAACACGAATGACCTTATTAAAGAAATATACTAGTAAGAGTTGGTACGATGAAATTTCATACATATCCGTATGCCTACTCGACCTATTAGTTCTCTTTCTTACAATTTATTCACTAACCGGATGACATCTAAGCATGATTCTGCTATGTTCAGACATTTATTAAAGAGCATATCCACATTCTGAGTCTTCTTAGCTCTTAAACCCTCCTCCTGTACATTTGAACTAACTGAAGACTAACTTCCATACCTAGCAAAGGCTTCTCATGAAAAAACCTTTTTTCTGAACTCCACTGTAATTGGAATTCTAAATGGTATTTGTATCATAAGACCTTCCAGACGTCAAAACTATGTTTTCTTAGTACAAAATCTACTTTTTCAGAAACAGTTCATCGTTCATGAAATGTAATGCCTAAAGGAAACGAGGAAAATTTCGTCCGTTTTGGATAAATTTTGGGGAAGCCTCAGCGGAAAACTTTCCTGAAATGTGTAATGCGGCGTCGAGTCACGTTTGACTATGATCACCACTACAACAAGACTGCGTATGAGAACAGGCCAAACCTCCGAGTAAACCAGAAATCAGAAGGCGATTGAAGGTTGTAGCAAGATATATTTGTTGGCGATCTCGTGGTATCGAAAGAATACCGAGATCGTGCCAAAGGAGTACAAGTGGAAATACTGAGCGAACGTAAGTTCGTACAAGGTCACAAGCGACGGAAGATTGTACGTTCTTAGTACAGTTAAACGAAAAATTACAGTAAAACAATCCCTGGCACAATTGGTTATAATAGTAGTTGTTTCCGTTACACCAATCGTGTTCTCCTGATAAAAGTAGGTCACTACAAATTCTTGAGGGAATTTTGGGTTTTCCCCAATATTTTCCCATAATCTTACAACACTGGGGTTTCTACCCGAAATTTCCGTAAACTTTGGGGGAAACTACCAAACTTTTCACGACTATGGGGAAAACCCAAAAACTTACTCAAAATTCTCCAAAGTTCCTCCATATTAAAGAGATTGCAAAATGATCCTTCTTTATATGATATTTTAATTTCAACAGGTTAATTACTAACCAATTAACTCAAGCTGCTACAATAATAGCATCTCACAAGCAACACTGGTCAACGCTGTAAACGAAATAGTGTCCAGTCTTTAAACTCCAAACGGGAAAATTGCCATCCAAATAGAGATTCTGGTGACTAGTTACTTCCATGGTCAGTGAGGCAGTTACCTACCAATTATATTGGAAGACAGATATGTAATATCATGAATTGATTGAATTTTGACATAAGGATTATTGGATGTCTGACCATTGGACTGACACGCTCACTGTGAGGTCGATTATTGGCTTTGCCGTGGATGTATAGTTTGACTGAATAAATATCTCACCTAGCACGTCTCATGCCGCGTACTGATAAAAGCCATACAATACACTATATAAGACACTGAAAATAGAGTGCGTTGCTCCAAAGAATGGGATTGTGATGCACCTAAACCAGAACAGTGATTCCGATACTTCATTCATCATAATATTATATGGTGATAACAGTCGTTATTCTTAAAAACACACCGCCTAGCACTTCGAAAGCCAACAATGGCTAAAAATGAGCTTAATCTTGTATTGGACTTGGACACTATCCGCTACTCAAACAGTACATCTTCGTCCTCGCTGCCTATTATAGCAGGAGTCTGAGCATAAGGGGCTACTGTGGACAACTTAATCAAAATTCGACCTCAGACGTTACTACTTACTACGTCCTCAAAACCTGACAGTCACCGTTCAAAAATTAACTCCATAAAGCCCAACAAGCAGAAGCATAATATATCTTTAAAACAATCCATACATACATCAAGCCCCTGCAACATCTTGCCACACCCCAAAGTCCAGCTTAGTATAGGTAGTGTGTTCTAAGTGTAAATGCTGTTTCCAATTCTACTAGTTGATGTTTATTTCGATTAAACAGAAATATTGGGTACCTTTGTGAGCAGTAATCCTATTTAGACGTCCCGAAACTGAAATCAGTCGGAATCACAATAAATTGTTTTATCCAGGAAACCCAAAATGTAACTGGTTACGATATCAACAAACTCCACAACCCACGAATAGCTAAGTCCAAAAATTTGATTGATAATGGAATTTGAATTGCTTCCTCATGTATTACTCCGCACTCTAAAATGTGCCGGCTACAAATAAACACTAATGTTATTAGCCCCGACCAACAGACGGACTTGCGGAGGGACCACACAAGGATCAAGTACCAACACTTCAACTTGATAATTGTAGGAATAAAACGTGTGAACAGATAGCATTAATGTTCAGAAACCGGGTACAATGTTACTGAAAAACGGAGGACGTAACAAAGACTGAAATGAGTTGGCGAAATAGCAGATCATGTCATATAATAAGACGATCGGTAACTGTACAATTAAAATCTACTTACAAAAAACTCAACATTACAACAGAATGAGGACGCGTAATTACATGATTTTAGGAAAAAGAAAGTTACTTACATGTCTGAACACATCTATGGGTACCTCATAGATGACTAGAGTTACCTCAATTTTCTACACTACACTAGTAGTATTGTACACACCTGCTGATAAGTTTTCAACATAAATTAAAAATACTACCACACAAAATCAGTCCGACTAATTACTTCCTAATGAACTATTTACTTCTGCGATGTATCATCATAGCCGATAAGGGATGAGAGATAAAAACGTATCTTAAAAATCACTGCTCATGTACAAGAGCCCACTAAAGTAAACCTTGACTATATAACTTTCATTAGCCCGAATTTCCATCGTGAAACGATAGCGACAAAAAACCAAATGTCGAAACATCTATTTTAAATAAAACCGTTAGTTGAAACCTAAGCATTCATGTTGGTTGTCATTTTTCATCTAAACTCGTGCGAAACCAACTTTTAATCTAGTATATTAACGCCATAAAAGTTGTCCTATAAAATAAAGCTTATTCTTAAAACTCAGTCAGTCAGCTACAACGTAGGACCAGGCACATATGTGCATCGATCCAGGTTGCCATACCTCATTAGCACAGCAAGATGAACACCGAATTCATAGGAGTGGTTAGGTCAAAGGTTGCAATAAGGATATAGTATAGGAAGAAAGAATTAGTTCGTAGACAGAAAGAATGAAGTGATTTTAATCTCTTAGTTTAAGGGAAGACAGGGAGTGTATGCACCGACGCCATTGTGATCGATTCTGAGCCATGTCACCAAGAGTCTCCAACCATTGGTTACGAAAGTCACGCGGACCCCAACCAAGTAGTCTGCATCTACCAACATGGCTCAGACTAGAAGTTAGTGACTTCAGGCACTGATGCCACGTTTTGGTTTGGCCGCCCCTAACTTTCTTCCAACCATCCTCTACCCCTGTTAGGATTGCACGTCGTGGTAATCAGTGTTCAGGCATACGTAATACGTGGCCCAACCATCTCAGTCGATGAAGATTCATAACCTCATCAACTGATTTACCATCATTCCCTAATACCCTGCGTCTAACCTCACTATTACTTACCCGGTGATCCCAGCAATATTTCTAAGGCATCTGTGGTCAAATACTAGTAGCTTACGGGTGTCTTCTACTCTTAAGGGCCATGTTTCGCTGCCGTAAATTAAAACAGAACGAACTGCCGCGCAGTATACTCGTCCTTTTATTGATAGACGGATATCTCGCCTTCGCCAAAGGTGACGCAAGTTGGCAAAAGCCAAACGAGCTTTTCGAATCCGTGCTGAGATTTCGTCCGATACCAACCCATTAGGGCTGATCACACTTCCAAGATAAGTGAAGTTGTCAACGCGTTCGACTACTTCACTCCCTATCCTTAGTTTCAGTAGACCTGGGACAGTATTTTGAGCACTAGAATCGTTGGCTATGGTGACACTTGAGGTGGAAGCCGAGAGAGGAAATTTAAAGTTGAAAGTCGATGTAGGAGGAATAATAGGAATTGAAGAGGAAGGTTGATTATGAATACAGTGGTCTTGAGTGCTTTTAGAGGTATGAGGGCGGTTTTCACTTCCCGGTTGCCCACACCGTGGAAGGGTTGTTCTGGAGGTACCTGAAAAGGAATTTGGATTAAAGGTGGTCTTAGTGACCTGAGAGCGTGACCGCAGTGCCCAAGGGACAACTGCTTGAGGTCGGTCACACACGACCTTGTTATGGGTAATTTTTGTGTTAGCTCCGTACTTATTGAGACCTTACCGCCGGAGACGGATATCCGTGGGATAAGGCGAGGTGTGCATTTCTAGGGTCGACCTTTTCTAACCCCACCCCTCCTTGTGGGAAGGCAGCATCGCTGTCATGCTGGTTGTCTGAAGGAAACACCTTACTGCTGTCACACCTCTGTACAGTCAGCAGTACGACTTCGCCTTCGGACCTTGGGTTTGTTGCTTTTAGTCTTACCACTCTTCAACCGACCTGTCTGACATGGTAGGACCTTGAGGAACGGTTGTTCCAGCCAGTATAGCTCGGTTGCTTCATCACGATAAGCAAGCCCGACCACCACGTCAAGGTAGCAACAACTGAAAATATCCGAAGGAACTATCGAGTTTTGATGACAAATCAACTTTTATTTGAAAACATTCAGGCGCTAAAGTGTATGCCCATGATGAATGTAACATTGTGTAATCGAAGAAAGCTATTTACGAATTATGTAATTAACCAGAGTAAACACCTTTTAAAAATATATACAAATAGTTTTGACAACAGAAAATGCTTAGAAAAGATTAATAAATATATAACATATTAACAAGATAGTTGACTGCAATAATACTAAATTAGTTTATTTGACAGCAAAGAACAAGGACAGAAGGCAAGGTAGAGTCAAACCATTGAAGACAATGATTATATATATATAAGAGGCTACAATACTATATTGTGAATATGAATTATCACTAAATATTATGATACATTATTTGAAGAACACATATTACTAATGAAAAGAGATATTATGAGTATTTTTTAGACAAAGTATATAAGCAACCAAAAGCAGCACAAGTAGATTTAATCACAGTAGGAAAACAACTTTTAAAATAAATCACAAAGAAACTTGGGAAATTAGCAAACTATATAAGTCACTATAATTAATTACAAAACATGAGAACATAAAGAGGAGGAAATGCAATGATGAAAAAGAAAGATAAAACTAAAAGTTGAATAAGTAACACAGTTTGCTTTTTACATGGAAATTGGTACATCTTTTATAATTAAAGCCTCTTTAAAAGAGAAAGATTTAGTTTGAAGTCCTGAGTTATTACAAGCTCCTGTGAATGGAAGAGCACCAAAAACAGGTTCATAGTTAGTTGGCTTGATATGATCGATGATTTTTTCGTTGGAACGGTTATTAAGAGACATATTTGAATGCAGTGTAGAATCTATGTTACAATCGTTATTATTGTTTAATAAACCATCTGAAAATAACAAACCTTTTATATCAGGTTCTAAATCGCTTTCGGTAGATTGGGATACAGAGTTTATAGGAAGAGAAAAGTTTTTCAAATTTTCATTACAATCTATTAGTATACAGCCAGCCGTATCAGAAAGGGGGGATGAAGTATGTATACTTGAAAGACAAGTCTTTGTGAGTAGAGTTGGACTAACAGATGACGGTAGCGAATCCGATACAGATTTCGAGAGCAGATTAGAATTGTGGTCTCCTGTGAAGCAAGAAAATGGATGCTTTCCATCAATAATTTTTGAAATAGCACGACTATCAGTTGACATAACTTGACTACAACGCTTACTGTAGTTATTTAGAGCATTAAAACTCCCGGAGTGTCTTTTTTTGTGGTACATTAAAATGGACTCTCTTCGAAGAGACGAAGATGCTTGAGAGGAAATCCATGTAGTAAGGCGAGTTGAACGCCGTGTTGGCTTAGGAAACAATATACAGGATTCAATAGATTCAAAATCCAAAATAGATGGACTTGAATCACCTTCAGAACACTGGCTATCTGATGACTCTGTGCTTACCAGTTCCTGGCTAGATCGGATACATTTAGCCAACGATGACTCTTGTTTACCAGCCGAATTAGCATTAGGTTTTTTACAGTCTACAGTCAAGTTTGCTATTTTCCGCTTTTTTGTTCTTCGTACCATCTCATGAGGAGGGAATAGGTCATAACGATGTCCAGTGAGATAATCAATGATGCGCACATCACGTAAACGGCAACGGCTACCTTGAATATGATCTAAAACATCTAAAGCACGATCAACGCCTGATGAGAAAGCACCATGAGTACATTGTTGACCACCAGAACTGTCAACGGTACCTTCACCTGCAAAAAGCAACTTCGGACAAACCTGTAGTAAAAACAAGTTGGAATAGCGTGTAAGTGATGAGAATATTGGACCGTCTTAAAACATATTAATATTGCATATAGAAAGATTATGGTAAAACCAGAAACATAGCTTAAATACATTGGGAAACATTGCAATTTTAGGAAGGACTATGTAGATCGAATAATAAATTTAATAGCTTTTTGCAATAAATGAGTCCCTGTGATGATAAGGATATTCTTACCTCGAACAGTGTGTTTAAATGTTTATGGCGATCCACTTATAAAGCGAGATTCTCCGACATCTATAATGTAATAATTTCCATATTTTAAAAATACCACTTTGAATTATGTGAGTTGTCTGGCCTTTAAATGTTTACTTAGGACAATCTGTCTGAAGACAAACATCTCAATAGGGGATTGATTTCTACAGCGATCTCACACACTAAATTAAGTCACACTCTAAACATTATTGATAACAGAATATTACTAAAAGTTGTGATTTTCCACTGTCGATATGTTTGTGAATTGGTTAGTCTCTATTAATACTCATGTTCTAATTCCATAACCTCATAGCCAAAAGCACTATCTACTAAGAAGTGGTTACATTCAATAAACCGGCACCAATTAAAATAAAATATTCACCTTACTAGTCACTGATAAATCAAATATGTAAGCAAACATGACTAATTAGTTCAATTTAAAGAAATAATAAGATTATAACTAACTGTGGAAGGCAGGCTACTTGCATAAGCTTGTCGATCAGCATCACTGCAGCCAACCTCACCAGCAGTGTAAGCACCCAAACTAAACGGGTCTTCTGACCATCGAGTAACGTGAGTGTATATAGGTTCAGGCAATGGACACTGAGAAGGGTACATACCACCTAATAAATCTAGTAAAGTTTTGACGACAGCTTGATCAGATCGACCAGTGATCCTGAGCTTTGAACCACCCCATACGTGAGCAACCAGAACACCTGGATTTCCATAAAAGTCACAATTAAGTATATGAAGGTAAGCGCCGGGACACGTAATATGAGGCGTGTCACGATCCCAAAAAATTTCTGATGGGTTAAACATTAAAATAACCTAAAAGGAAAAAAGCGCGATACCTATTAGTTATCATAAAGTATGTTAACAATACCCTCATTCATTAAAGCAAACACATGAAGACTACAATTCATTGTCAAATGGCTTTCTAACACAGAAATTATACAAGTTTCATTAAACAACAACCACGTAAGAAATAATCTATTATATCTACATACAATAAGTCAAAAATATAAGGAAAGATTATAGAAAATATCATGCTTGGTGATTTTAATGAAAACTGAAGGTATAATCCAAACTATATCTAGAATATTTCGAAGGCATTTTGTTATAATCTCTTATTACGACTCAGCTATTCTTATTGTCCAGTATTCTTGGACACCCACTTACTCGACAAGTCCTCAAGTCAGAACACGGTTGAACAGGAACGTAATTACATTCCAAATAACAAGGTTGCATGGAAGTAGGAATCTGTGGTGTTTGTATGAACTAATAATTCTTTTGTACTTGATGTGTGCCTGACTTTGAATTCCAAATACAATACGTTCGTTTGTGCTCACCTAGTTCTACCTAACATGAATTGTGCTATTTCGGGGATTCCTAGATCATATGATAATCCAAATGCTTCTAAGTATCACAGAATCACAATAATAAAAACGTTAGTATATTTGTAGTTGTTACATGAAAAGATCCTATTGTCTTTTCCAAGTATCCACTAGCGCTGATTGGTTATGAAATAGCCAGTCAGAGCGCCCCAACACAATCCTGTAAGAAACATCCTTCAATCGAATTTACATCCCGTTAACACACCTATATTATAATCACTTTCTTTCAGTTGAACAAAAAGGTTACCATATGAGGGTTTGATATGGTAATTTTTAGTTATGAGGTCATTTAATTAACATTATTCGAAAATTTCAAAAACCCTTTCTTTTGAACGGATAGTCTAATATCTATCAATATCAGCTTTGTCAGTTACCCTAATAATGTTTTTAGAATACAAGTAACTTACCATAATTATAAAAAAAACCTAGTCTTGAATTTCATACCTTCTGCTGGATTTTTTTCAAAAAAGTAATAAGTGAAATTATTTTAAAATGTAAAAATTATGTTAGAACTACTTAATGACCGCACAAAGCCATGCAATAAATTTATACATCTTTTCAAGTATACAATCACTACCTGAATGGTAGCTGAAAATTTTGTGTTACTGTTTTCTTATTTCGGTCCGGTTTACTTGAGAATTTTTAAACGTAGATTTTTATTAAAGTTGTACATATTTTATAGCAGAAAACTTGCATCATGATGTAAGTTATTTTACATTGAATGAGCACATGAATATCAAACGTTCAAGGTAGAGAAATTCCTGTGAAACTGAACAAATGTTTCAAGAAACTTTAACAGTGTTTTTATCCACTAATGATAACCACACACTTTTACATTACTCAATATTACATATATGAGATATAAAATTTGGAACTCATAATGATAGCAGTGATAGACTTTACTATCACTGTATACTTTTCAGATTAAATGCATTAAATTGTACACTTTACATTTAGATCATTAATAAGACGATATAAAATGTTGCAATTTCAGAAGGGAAATCACCAGGCAATTTTGATTTTAAAGTGTAAATTTAGTGGTGACTAGTGACTTTTAATCCAGCCTGAATGTCGCTCTACATAATACAAGATTCCTCTCTAAATAACACAAAAATGAAAATATACAATTTATTTCGACGCAACTTACTAAATACAGTAATATATTTCCAGAGAGAATTTCTAACGAAAACGTACGGTAATTTGAAGTAAACAAAGTATAGTGGACCATTTCCTTTCTAGGATGAGTCCACTTAGTTATAATACTGTTAAAAAGCCTATATATATATATATATATATATATATATATATATATATATATATTTTCATAGGAGCGAAACTGGTATGAAAATATCAGATTATTGCTTCTAAATTTTAATAGAACGGTGGCTAAAACACTCAGCTTTCAATCAACAGGTTAAAAGTTCAAAACTCATCCCAGGTAATCCAGTCAGAGCAGCAGGGAATCAGTAATATCATTAGTCATCACACAAATAACGTGGCTCAAAGCAAAGTACATGAACTTGTAATTGACAAGTTACACTACATTGTGAGGTTTACAAAGAGTATTTTACCATAAGTTTTTCAGCCAATAGTTTATTCCACATTGACAGATATTTCAGATAACTTATAACCTTTCAGTTAATTTTTTTTTCAATACTATGATTATATCTGTAAAACAACTCATGCTATCAAGTTAAACGACGTTACAAACTGCACGAAAATCCATAGACAGTTTACCTTATTATGAGTTTCTGCTCCCAACTTTGGAATACCAAGACGATCTATTGCAAGTCTTTTCCTTGAAGGCAAACATGGATGAAAATGGATGGCACTACGACGATCAAGGCCTTTGAGTACACCAACAGGGACTGTTATGATGCAGAAGCGTGCAAAATAACGCTTAGAAGATTGTCTGTTGAAAACCAACGTAGACGATTCCCCTGAGTACTGTGCCACATCAACACATACTAGATTAGAAGACTCAATAAAATCCATAAGAGTTTTAGTAGACCATGAGGCAGCACTGTCATGAATTAATTGGATATTAATTTCTTCATTAGATTTACCAAAGTCCGTGTGATTTGACCAATACACATGTCGTGCAACACATCGGTGATGAATGTCTACACCAGACGCTAGAAATTCGACAAACTTTGAGAACCCATCTAAAACTAAACGATCCTCCCATTTGTGGTCGGTTCGACGAGCAATGCTCTTACACGAGCCATTCAAACTTAAATGGGTTCTTTTTTCTTGCAACCAATCCAAATAGATTCTTTTGGACACAGAGCTCGGTTGGTCAACATTCAGAGCTAAACCTGCCATAGCATCAGCTTCGAAATGAGGTCCCAAAGAAAGTTTAGGAGAGAGTCTATGAGCCGGATTTACATACGCTATGTATCGAGCAAAGAGGGAATCAAAAATGCCCTTTTCTCTTCGAGAAAGAGTTGGAGAAGTTCGGTAGCCTGCTTTGTATAGTAAGTGAAGACATGATTCTAGAGCACTATAAGTAATAAAACATAAAAAAATTAGAAGAAAGCCAACATATAATCATGTGAGCAAATGCCTTGATTTAACTCTATTAAATGATCACTGAGATAAATTTCTACCAAAGTAGTAGGGTTATATGAAAGGTGTCTTATACCGAACAAATAGTCTTTAAATAAGTTGGTAAAACGCGAGTACATATATTGTCACATCTTATGAGTTTAAAAGTAGAGCTGCAGGATAAATTATTCATGAAATCAAGATATGAATTTGAAAAAGTAACCTGGAAACCAAAGTAATACTCCAGTATTTGATGCAACATATCTCCCGAAACACATACACAAGCCAATTCTATAGACTTAAATAGCCCCCAAATGCCCTGGTATGGCCGAGAGTGGGGAGAGTTCACTCTCTCTCTCTCGAAATGCTCTCACATGACTACGCGTATATAGCCTCTGCCAGGGAAGTCCTACTCACTGCCTTCTTGTGGCGGGGGTGTTGTTTACGAAAATGAGAGGACGAAAAGCGAATGTCCGGCGCTTTAACCGGGTTCCAAATCAATGGTGCACATGGGCTCCAGCATCCTGCGGGAACAAAAGGCGTATGAACCAATTATTGGTCACCGGCTTCCATGGGACTGCATCTCCACATGATGCTCCACTGCCTTGTGGATCAGACCTTCAGGTCAAAGGCTCCGGGTGTGGCCCCCTAAGAAAACCACCTGCCTCGGTTTGGGCACCCGGGCAGTATCGCAGCCTTCGCACATCTAATGAGATTTGTGTGGCGCATATGTATTTGGTGCCTCCTTGTACCAATATCTATGTGTTAAAATAAATAAATAAATAGACCTAAATAAGCACTTTTGAGAGCAGCTTATAAAGAGGTGATCTTAATATAATTTAATATAGACACTGGCGAAATAAAGTAAGGTGAAGACTAATGAAAGCTACTTAGACTGATATACATTTAGTTACTATTATATATATATATATATATATATATATATATAGAGAGAGAGAGAGAGAGAGAGAGAGAGAAACTTATATTCCCTGTGAAATGAGTGAAAACTTGCACACGGCACAAACCTTGGTAAAGCAGTAGCTAAAGTTTTGTTTGATCGATTATCTTGTTTCTTCTGATTTGCTGCCATAAGAATGTACAGTAAGCATCTGTCAAGTAGAAAACTCATGTCCGCCACTTCTTCCAAGCCAATTTCCTTACCCGACTTATTATCTCGCCAAACAGCTACCTCTGGACATTCCCAACCCCGATGCGTACCTAAAACATCCCCAGCGGCAGGAGAAGTAGCGATTTTTAAACGACTAGCCAACGTAAACAAAGGTTGGACATCCTGCGAATTGTTGCATCCATGAAGGTAGCTAGCCCCCAAGTCGACGACAGACTTGTCTTGTGATTTGTCAGTAACAGAAGGAAGATCAACTGTATGAATCCGGCCACCACTTCTTGATCGCGCTTCTAAAACAATAGTTTTAAGTCCTTCATTAGTTAGTAGTTTGGCTGCAGCAAGTCCAGAAATGCCAGCACCCAAAATAAGCACATCACAAAACGTGGCCTCTGACATTTTATAAATAGCCTCAACGAGGATCGAGCTGCACAAAATAGCAAATAAAAATAAGAATTACGAGGTGAGTCAGATGTTTGGTAAGTACAGTAATTCATCTCGGTAACAAGATACGTTTTCGAACACAATGACGTAAGTGATATTTATTAGGTGAGGGTCGATAGTATACTATCAATTTTACGAATGTCCTGTGTGGTATAAAGCATTGTCAACGTCACTAACAATTCCGTATAAATAGTGTGTGACTACTTTTGATGGAGAGACTATAGTCTGTGAATTAACCGATCAGATATAAGATGAAGGGTCTTGGATTTTAACGAGAAAATGATTGATCCATTTGGTTAAGTGACGGAAAACCGAAACCTAATCCCAATTCCTGACACTCATTTATAACCCTTACTAAGTCATAGTTAGTACGTGAATACTATCAAAATCACTTTAGTGTCGCTCAAAGGTTGCTCATAATTTATATTCTCAACTAGTAAATACATGTAAGTTAAGCAAGATTATTTGGAAGCTGATTTCGGCTACATTTAGTCTTTAAGTTCACCTTAATCTTAGTGAGGCTAGTGCCAAACTCGAGAGCCTGTTTTGAAATACCTGGTGATATTTTGACGGTTTTCTTAAATACTAGTAATTTTTAGCAGTGTTGTGAAAACCATGTCTTCAAAATCTACTTTCAAGCATGTAAAACAATTTCTAAACAGGGAGGAATTTTTCTAGGCTGGAACTCTAGCTTACTATTGTTTAAAAGTCAACAACTAAGCAACAATTACAAGCGACAGAAGTTACGAGATTACAGAACCAGATGTACTTGGAGTCGAGTACGCCAGAAACCAAACTTTCCGCTCCCAACATTTAGTACTCAATCTTATTATAACGAATTTTTGTTTGTAGCCTCGATGTTAATTGTGTGCAGGTACAGTTTAAGGAGCCATTCACTAATTTAGGAATATAACCTATGTTATTCTGTGCAAGTCACGACTGGCACTCTCGCTTTTACTTTTCTTTGCCGATTAGTTTTTAGTTTTTATGTAGTTGTTAGTGTTTTCTTTTAAAGTTTTCCTTTTTGACAGTACCGCCTACTCAATCTGTACAGTCTTATTGACAGTTAACCGTCAATTAAGTGTCTACCAAAAAACAGGAGGGTGCTTTTATCATGTTACTTGTCAAAGAATACACAAGAGATAAGGGACAGTCCAAGATAAAAAAGGTGCTCCTCAAAATTAACTACCTATTGGGGTTTGAGCGAAACCCGACACCCGAAATTACAACCTGTAGGGACCCATGCAGTTTCTAAAAAACTCTGTTTATGAACATTGAGTTCAAGGCAGATACTGCTGCAGAGATTTTGAAGAATCGTTAAAAAATCCTTGAGGAATGTTTTTTACGCTAACCAGGCTCGTATTGTCCTCACAATCCGCTCCGGTATTCATGGATTTTTCAGAGATAAACCCTCGCCATGGGTCATATTATGTTTAAGTTCACTTGCTCGTGTGGAACAGAGTTCACTAGGTGCACAGAGCAAGCATTTCGAAGTGCATCTCTGCACATTTTCCTAGGAAGCCTTCGAAACGTGAATGCAAAACGATCAGTGGTTGAATATTATGAACACTGGTCGTGTCGTACCACTTGGAAAGCCTTTCAAAGTCATTCATACGGCCAGTCAATTCAATTCGAGAGAAAAACATCTCGTAACTCGTGCATTCCAGAGGTTCTGGCAATCCATATTTTCAAACTTGAACTTTGTATGGAAAAGAATCACGTGCAATCTATTGTTCTTTCATGACTCTGGCAATTGTTGTTCATAAAAAGTAGTTCGATTGTTAATGCATCCATCAAATGTTTTAAGTCTCAGTATTAGTTACTTGATATTAAAGCCATCACTTTTTTAATAACCACCAAGTGAAAAATTATTTTTCGTACTATTATCTCTCATCGAATTCTTTATCATTCACATGCTTCAAGTAGTTTTGGATGGAATAGAAGGAGCTTTCGCTTAACGGGAAAAAATTTGTAAATCATAATGAGATACTGTCCTTAGTCCTTAAGAATATGTCGAATTTTCTGCTAAAGGATTCCTGGGAGGTCGCTTGGACTAGCCCAGTCGGCAGCGTATTTCAACACTTCACTACTCTCAAAAAGAAGTTTGCCTACACTCAGTTCTGCTATGTTGTGTCTCCGATTTCTGGGTGTTAGCCCTAATTTTTGTGTTGGAACTAAGTTTACGTAGTTGTTTAATGGAGGCCCAGAAATGTTTAGAATGCTATAAGTCATTAGATCACCTATAAGACGCCTGCACTATGTTTCCGTACTCCATATAGGAAAGAATAAAACTGTTGAAGATTGTGTGTAAAGTTCTTCAGTCGAACTGACAGAAAATGCGCTTCAATCTTACCTGCGAAATGTTTTTTTGGAAGGAATTTTTGTCGTAGTTGGCGTAAGGCCTCAAACCATAGGGTACCAGCACTCCTAGATCTTAATCGACTTGGGATACCTCTGAGGGAGTAGCCTAATTTGTAGCTGTAGTTTGCAGAATGTCACAGATGAACTGCTTTACACTTTGAAGTGTTGAAGGTAAGTTCGTTGTTATCTGCTCTACTTTGCAGTGTAGTCAGATGCTCCTGAAGTGCCAGACTATCCTCTTAGTTACGTGCCTCTCTCCAGAGTTTCGCATCATCGGCGAGAAGTAATAAACCCGACGATAACTTCTATAGAAGATCGTTTATACGAATCAAGAAAATATTTCCTAATGTCCTAATTTTATGATAACTTAACATTAAACTGACATTTAGTCTTTTCCTAATACGAAATTAACATTCAGTAGAATTACCTAAGTTAGTAAACCTGAAGATACCACCGTTATAGTGTAATACACGAATGCCGGTCATCAAGTATCTTATAGATCCATGTCAGTAAGACAAATGAAGAAGAAAAGACTGGTGGTTGGGAAGGTAGACATTTTTGTTTATTGGTTAAAACGTGGCCTTGTAAAGTTGTCTGACTAGAAACCTTCAATTAGTTGATGTCTCATCAATCCAACTTAGTCAACAGCAGTCATGAACATTTACAAAGTTGTGTATTTTAGAAACTTATATTGAGCTACATCTTAGTCCTTTGTCTGAGACCATTCAGACAGTGGTGTCCATTAAAATTAACGAATGCAGGAATAGTAAATTACATATGAAAAACTTTTTATTCTAACAAGTTAATAAACTCCACAGCCTCAAGGAGCTGTACTCGTTGGCACTTCCTTAACTTTTGTACGATATTATAACAGCTTAGGTTGGTTGGTTAAATGTTCACCTCAAACAACTAAGCATATGTCAAAACAGTATAGTTCAAGTATTCATTCACTTCGTTATTTTGTATAGGCGTTATATTTTCTGTTATCTTATATTGAATGTTGAGAGGCTTCGCTCATCTGAGCAAATGATCCCACGCTCCAGCGTGACTGCGCGAAGGTCTAAGTAAAGACCTATTCACCACTTGTCTGGTTTCTTCTATCAAT